ATAAGGAATTTCAGATCTAAGGTTCATCAATTCTTACTTTCTTAAATGTTTGTATCGACAAAAAGAAATCTAGATTCATCAAGAAAGCATGAGAAAAAAAAAAGACACAATGGCAAACACAGACGCTAATAGAATATGGCAATGTATTAACTGTAAAAATCTTTTTAAAAAAGAATTAGAGCAATCTGACTTTGTGTTTTAAAAATGCAACACTGCCTTATTAGCATATAACAGAATTCAAGTGACATAGTTAAAGTAGCCTAAATTCTTGTCAGGTTTCAGAAGAGAATAAAAATAATAAATAACTTTAATTAAAAATCTACAGCTGTGTATATAGTTTAAAATTTAAAGGGTAACACTAAAAGTTTAAAAAAACAATGTAAATTCAAAAACAACAGAGGCAGTAGAGGGAATATAGGAAACCATTAATCTAACAGAAGACAGAAAAAGAATATAAATGAAGCTAAAGATAGTAAATAAAAGCATGAGTAATGTACATAAATAAAACCAAGTATTTCAAAATCATAATGAATACAGATTAAACGTAATAAAATGCATAAATAAATCGGAATTCCTTTAAAATCCAGTTGAATACAGAAAACTACTATAGTACCTAAAATACATAAAGAACTCAAAAAATTAAGCCTCCCCCAGTAAATGACCCAATAAAAAATGGGAAACCAACATAAATAGACGCCTCAAAGAAAGGAATAAATGGCCAATAAATAGGTGAAAAAATGTTCACCATCGCTGGCTATTAGAGAAATGCAAATTATAGCAACACTGAGATTCCATCTTACTCCAGAAAGAATGGCTACCATCAAGAAGTCAAATAATAATAACCTGGTGAGGCTTTGGGGAAAAAGAAACCTTTCTACACCACTGGAACAACCATTATGGAAGTCAGCATGGAGATTCCTCCAAAAACTAAAACTAAAGTTCCATTCAGCCAGCTGTTCTCCTTCCAGGTATCTACCAGAAAGAGTTAAAGTCATCATATTACATCATACATGCATACTCATGTTTATAGCAGCACAATTATAATAGCTAAATCCCCAATCCTTTGGCCTTGGTCCTTTGGCCAAAGAGAACAGATCAAGAGTGACAATATGCCAGTGATAAGAAACTTCGCATATTTCCCGTTGCCCTCTTGTTATGAGAAGAGCTCCTCTTGTGTAGCTGTTGTCCCTGTTGCATGGACACCACAAGAAACACTTGTAGAGTTTCCCCAGCCAACACCCGGGCCTGCAGGGAGCCATAGGCTGCTCAGCACAGTTTACACCAGCAGAGCCCCAGCTGACCAGTGTTCTGAGAGCCAATCTTTCATCTTAGACTCTGTGTGCTGACTTGGCAAACATAAGCCCTGTAATCTCCAGTCCACCATTTTGGGCCATTGTTTTGTACAAGATACCTCGGTATTTCACTAGCCTGCTAGCTCAGCAGCCCTCTGGAATGCTAGGATCTGTGAGGCAGTCTCCAGTTCCCGGTATCTTCCTTTAGGTCCCTTGATCTCTTTTGTGCTATTGCAATCACAGTGTCATATCTGTGTTTATATTTTGTCATTTTGGCTGAGAATATTGGAACCTCATGTGGTTCTAGCTCGTGTGTTTTAAGGAAGCATTTAGAAGTAATAATCTTTTCAACACTTTTTTAATGACCTAAGGAAGAAGATGAATCCTATTGATCCACCATCTCCTTTCCTACTCTGAGTTTCCTGTTGACTCATACTTAATGTCTATTTAATACAATTTTTATCTCTGATGTGTTCTTAAGAACTTCTTCCTTATAGTTTTAGAAGCTTTGATTAGCAAAATCTTTCTTGGCTACTTATTTCTCTATCCATTTATAAGTTACTCATCTTCCCATTTGGCTTTCTCAAGTTTTGGAAAATTATATTTTTCTTGTAATAATTTCTTTGCTTCTGACAGATCGTAAATTTAACAAAGGCTAATTAGATTGGCGAATTTTTCCCTTCACAATGACACTACACAAAATGTGTCCACTTAGCTGCACTGCTCAGCAGTGTTCAGGAAACTGAAATGCTATCTGATCACTACAAAAAGCTTCTACCAAAGCACAGGGGGGAAAAAGTCTCAAAACAATTGTAGAGAATTCGAGGCAAATCATATTTGTATGAAAAATTGATGGAGCATCAAAATATCAAATAGCCTGAGACACTTCAGTGAGCTCGTGTTATGAAGGTGTAACTCTCCCATTTTATATCTGCACACAGTAAAACTACCAAGAGTATCTGAAAAGGCTGCCTCGTTATTTAGAGTCTTAAATTGCCAGCCTGCATTATTAACAGTCACATCAAAGCATGGATTTGTGATATGAGGAGCACATTGGTTTCCCCACATTCTGTTTCTGGAGTGAAAAAAAAAAGAGCCTGTATTTTAAAGAACCATCAAGTTCAGTGTTTATGACAACAATAAAAAGTTTTTATAGAGAATGTTCTAAAAGAGATTTGAGTTTCTATACTAGATACAATACCAAACCACGATACTAAGCTTATGTAGTGGCAAACAGTTATCTGGAGAAGAATGCATGCTTTCAAGCAGCCATGGGTGATTTACAGGCAAAACAGAATCTCAAGTAGTAACAGCAGGAAAAATTGAGCATCACAATTTTTATTCTCAACTAGAAATGATCTACTTCAGTTTATGACAACTAGCAAGCTGAAGACTGCTTGCCAGGAAACTGTGATCTTGTGCTACTCTGAAAAGCTAAAGCTTCCTGAAGGCCACAAGCTTGACTGCTGTGGCTGTAGCTGCTGCTGCTGCCAGACCCCGAGCTCCAGCGGTGTGGCTCACACAAGGCTCCAAGACTTGTTCTTGAATGCTTTTTGTTCCTCATAACCCAGCTCCTGTAGGCAACTGTTTCAGGGCGCTTGTATTTCTAACTGATCACTCACCATTTGCCTGTCATGTGTTGTTTCCAAGTGCTAAGAACGCCTTCTTGAATAAAACAGATTAAAGAGTACAAACTGCCTAAACCTATATTTATTTTAGTGGAAGGGGTTGCTGAATTTTAAAAGTCAAGTAGGAAATATTAATAAAGGGTAATAGGTGCTATGGAAAATAAGAGAAGAGGAGGATTGCTTGGGGTTAGGGGGTGTCGTTTAAAACAGGGTGGCCAGGAAAGGCCTCACACAGGAGGCGACTGGACTGCAAAGTTTTGACGGAGGAGAATGCATGCATCACCCAGGGGCCTCTAGGAAGGCTGGGATGGCTTCGGTCTGCGGCAGCTTCTCACTCTGGGCTTCTCCCAGACTGAGCTTATCAAGTCTCAGAGGTAGATTTTGGAACTCAGTGGGGAATATACCCAAAGAGTTTGACGCGTACAAAAGCACACATGTAATTCAATCAAGAACTTCAGGATTTCTTCTAGAATACTCACAGTTATCCACTGCTGGTTACCCCAAAGGCCAGCACATGCCTGCTACGGACCCTAGATTTTCAATTTTGCCAGTCTGATTCAAATAAAAAGATATTGTTTTGTAGGGTTTTTTTTTATTGTTTTGTTGCTGTAAAACACGTAACATAAAACTTGACCTTTGTAATTCATAACATTGTGCAGTTATTACTGTTTCCAAAAATGTTTGTTTACAAATGCCATTGCTTTTAATTTGTATTTTCTTTGAGCATTTCTTCATATGCTTTTCAGTACATTTGTATTTGATTTTTTTTCTTATTCACCATAAGAAAGCAAACTACACTAGTAAAAGAAGACAAGCTCCACATACTAATAGAGTGCTATTGTTTGGATTAAGGCAGCCTCAAATTTGAATCCTAGATCTTGTTTCACTGGTCAGTGACCTCATGAAAGTTACATTCTCTGAGCTTCAGTGCTCTTGTCTATGGAACAGAGATAAGAATTCAGACTCTTCTAGAGTCTTCAAAACATTTAACGAGCTCACATATGTAAAGGACAATCACCATTCCCAGTAAGTAGTATATATCAACTAGCGTTCCTATAATTAATAGTAGTATTATTTCAAGTGAACTTGCTCCAACCTAAATAATGAGACAGCTGACCTTCCTGTAGTGTCAAGATTTGGTAAAAGAAGAAACAGAATTGAAAAACTAATTTCAATGCAGAACCAGAGAGAGAAAAAAAAGAGGTCTGACCGCCCTGCAGCGTAGTGTTAAATAAGGGACAGGCCCCAGGCCAGCACACAAGGGTAGGAGGAGCTCAGAGGGGAAAAGCTTTGCTCCTGAGCTGCAGCAGCGCACGCTCCCAGCAGGAGGGGGAATGGCTCTTTGAACCTTCTGCCCTGCTGGGCAAAAGATGCTCTGCTACTCTGATAGGCATGGGGATCTCAAGGGGCTGCCAGACCCAGTGTGTGGGGGTCTGATTTGTTAAATGCTCAGATATGTGAATGCACATTTACAGTCTGAAGCTCTTCACTTTAACTGTCGACATTAATATATAAAAAACAAACATGGGTCAAATTCACTGATGATGTGAGATACTCATCAGTATTTTTTGAAACATGAGTCGGGCTCTGCTTCCCACTGTTATTACCGTGTGTTCCGTTACCAGCAACAAATACCTTCCATCATTTCATGAAGCCTGCCAGAATGCGGACAGAATTGGAACAAAGAGATAGCATTCACATGTAGGAAAAGCAGATATTTTCAATGCTAAAATGAGAGTCCAGTAGAATAAGCTCTCGGGATTTGCATAGTGTTTTTTTTTTTTTTCTGTAGTTTAATTCAGCTGTTCACTAGTGTTTCAAAAAGAAAGAAAAATGAATTGTCCCTGCTTAAGTAGTTTTTAAAGTATATTAATATTCTTTTTCTTAGCTAACTGCTGTGCTTCTGCTTTTCAGAATACCTAATTGTGGAAATTGCCTACTGAAAAAAAGGTGTGCTTTGAGTTAGAAAAGAATATTTAGAAGTCCTTTCCCAAAAAAAGCAAATGGGAGTGGAAATTTGAAAGAGGACCGCCTAATCCAGCACTAAAACCAGTGTGAGAAGCTCTGTGTGTGTGTGTGTGTGTGTGTGTGTGTGTGTGTGTGTTACAAAATGAGCTTCTCAAAGGGCTGCGAGGTAGATGGAAATGTTTGCTTAGCTCCTCTGAGAAGAGAAAAGGTGCCGGGAACTCTTGTTTCTTCTTTAGAATAATTTGGATGGGATTTGTGATGCAGAAAAGCTTAAAGAAAAACGAATATCCATTCTGTGTGGTGGAAAATTTTTGAAAAAATTTACTTTCTTCAAACAAGGTATGTCTGATGAGTTACTAAGTTATGAATATAGTTACTTTCCATTCATTATTAGAAAAAAATTAAATTTATTTGTCATTAACAAACTAGAATATGTACTTTAACCAAGTAATTAGTCTGTAAATTTTAGTGTCAAGAGAGTTGGGATGGGAGTTGGCAGAAGTTGGCTACTATTATTTATATATTTTTATAAGTAATATAGGTTATATATAAATTATGCTAAAATATTAATATTTAGACATTTGGCACTGTTTCTGTAAGCCAACAAAATATGGTTAAATTAAGTAGAAAAGTATAACATTTGTGTAAAACTTTAAAGTGATTTGCATCTTTCTTGCCTTTTTTGTATTTTGCTTCCTATATGGACTGCAATAGCAACGAAGCAAGTTGTAATATTGTATGAAAAGCAGTATCAGAAATGGGCACAAGGATGCTAAATTAAAAGAGAAAGCTTTGAATCTGAATCTCCACGTCTGTCTATTCAGGCAGATCGCAGTGGAACGTGGCTAGGTGTCCAATTCCAGGTCGTGTCCACACTAGCAGAGTTTTCTTGGGCTGAACATTTCTGTTACTGATAATTTCCAAGAAGGGGCTGGCATTGCAAAGACCACCATTGTAGGTCAACTTTGTACAGGAAGACAGGATACAACAATCTCTTTTAAGCATAATTTGTGTCAAACCAGTATAAACATGAAATAAACGCCTCAAGCACAGGTTAATCAGACAGGATAAGAATGAATAATCAGACATAATCCTTTGCTCCAAACAACCCACAGCATCTTTACCATCCCCAAACCAGGGATGGAATCCAACATTTTCTTGGGGTTTATTGTAAAAATAAAACCAGGCATCTTGGCCACGGTGGTTGTCCAAAAATGTGTCCGTTAAGAAAATAGTATTTTGCCATTACGTTGTGTTGCAATAAATTTGGAAGTTTTGGTGGTAAATTTCTGAGGTTGTTTTTCCCTTGGTTTCTTGAAAGATGGAATGCCCTACAGTAAGCCAGGATCAAACAATGTTTGTTTGTGTTGTGCTCTGTGTGTATGTGTTAGCTCCAAGGAGGTGCTAACCCACTAGGAGAACTGCGAGTGCCCATCTTTTATTTACTGAATTAAAATGCCCTCTTGTGAAAGGGCTTTATCCAAAGAACTGCAAGGCTACTCAGAGTGCACTTGAATTGCAATATGCTGATTTTCCAGACTATATTCTTTTAAATATCCCCCATGTTCCATCACTGAAAGAGAAGTAATTTAAGAATGTTGGAAATGCTTAATGTTTCTCTCAAACTAGTTTTTGTATAGAATTTAGAAGATCTAATTCTCTTCGCCACCAAGTTACTGATCACAGAAAGAAAATGTTCTTTCAGGGAAACTGCTGCAGGTTTGAGAATGGTTTATGAAAAGCATGATGAGAACAAAAATGCTTGTGCTGCTCTTGGCTGTAATTCCTGTAAGAGACGCATCAAGTACAGGAGAGCAGTGTGGCTCAAAGCAGGCTGCCAAGCCAGGATTCCTAAATTACAGGAGGAGTTCTGCTACTACCTCTCGGTGCTACCTTGCGAAAGATGTGGGACATGTCCTCAGTCTTACTGGCCTCTTTGAAAGCCAGAAACAGCCATGTCTGCTCACCCTCCCTCCTAAGCTCATCATGAGAGTCAGTATTGATTCTGCGCTCCAACCAGCTATGGAACTGCAAACATTTACATAGAAATGCTTTTCCTCATATATTCAAAACAAGATTATGCTGGGAGGGTTCACTGGTCTTGTAATGAGTATGTCATGTCCTCTAGGATGCTGCCGTTGTTGTGCTCGTAAATGCAAGTTCTCTTCCCCTGCTCTTGCTTGGTTGGAGGTACCGGCAGCCAGTACAGGATGAACACACGATTCTGTGTGACTCAGTGTTTGTGCGTCTCCATTTCCTGTCTATGAAATGAAGAAATCGGACAAGTTAGCTTCTAATTCCTATCCCAAACTGCAATTCTGTGCTCATCTCTACTCCAGTGTCAAGATCAGTTAAGCTAATTTTATCCTTGAGGTTGTGAAATGAAGTATTCAAACAAGCTTATAGAACCTATGGTGCATTTTATAGATGTATGTTTACCTAAGTAAGGACTGTAAGGTATACAAAAATGAAATTTGATGCAATATTCTTCACAAAACAAAGATTACAGTGTGTGTGTGGGTGTGTATGTGAGAGAGACATATATATCTATAATGGGGACAGTGTGATCTAAGTTGTACAACAGATATTGTTCAATTTTTGTTGGTTTCCTTGACTGCAATATTTGTTAGAAAATATTTTCTATGTGAACAAAGAAACCAGATTTGCTGTGAAATTATTCATTTGTAGTCATCTTCAAGCTTATTGACATTAGCTCTCTGGCTCTGGTAAACAAACAGACTCATAAATTTCTATTACATTAGTATAATGATTAGAAAGTAGCTGTCATTTATTCAATCAGAAGGTCTGAATAAATCAATTACTTAGCAAAGATAAACAAAAGAGGCGACTTCTGTGCTGGCTGTAATCTGAGAATGCCCACGGTTCCCTCAGTGCCTTAAACTGTCTCCCAGCGGGGTTGCAGGAGACAGTAAAACTCCAGGCTTCCTGCACGCAGCCTGAGAGCAAGAGAAAGTCCTGAGGAAAGAGCAGCTTCCATTCTTGCAGAAAATGGGTCAAGAGAGGAGTAAGATGCCAGGCGGAGTCCAGATAAGAATCAGAAAGGATTATCTGGGAGTGCTGGCTATTAAATTTTTAATTAAAAAAGGACACACAAATAAATGCGAGTCAGTTTGGGATCTCCTGGGTGAGCTCGGGTTTGCAGATAAGACGGTGAAGGGCCAAGAGGCAGGAAAACCCATGCACGCCCAGAGTCACGTGTCTGCAATAAAGCAAAGGCTATTTCTGTTCTGTTTGTGACATCTTCCATGGTTACAGCTTCTGTTTAAAAAAAAAAAAGTCAGTTGTGGATGCAGGTTTTAGAATTTTTTAGTTTTTAAACAGCTAGAAAGTTTTCTACTGTAACAGGCTGCATATCTTACAGAAACCCTTAGAGAGACTGTAGAACACCCCAGGCTATCTGGGAAGCTCACAGAGCAGGCACCAGACGATGCCACCTATAAAACCCACACATTTCGTGGAAATCTACAAAGGGCAAATCCTGTCCAGCACATGTGACTCAGCAGATGTACAGTGCCACACTATGGACCTTGTGGCCTGAGGGACAAAGGTGACCTGAGATACTGGCTGCCAAAGCCCTTTCCTGATAAAATCTGCAAGCCAGTTTTGCAATGCAAAAGTATGCATTTGCTTTGGATTCAACTGAAAGAATTCTTTATGCTTGTGTTTTGTTCTAACTCTTTCTCTCCCATATATATATATATATTTCATAATTTTTTATTAGAGTTCTCTAAGTATATTAGTCAGTTGGGGCAACCTTAACAAAGTGCCATAAAATGGATTCTTTAAATAATAAATATTTATTTTTCCCTATTCTGCAAGCTGGGAAGTTTGAAATAAAAGCACTGCAAGATTTGAATTTGTTAAGAGCCCACCGTCCAGTCCATGGATAGCTGTCTTCCTGATGTGTTCTCACGTGACAGAAAGAGAATGAAAAATTAGCCAGTGTCCCATTTCCTCCTCACGACCTAATCAGCTCCTGGAGATCCCACCTTCTAATACAAGCACATTGGGGATTCGGATTTCAAAAAATTTTGGAAGACAAAATCATTCAGACTATAGCAGTTTTCTTCACAAAAGAAGTCCAAGAGTCAAGTCTTGGTGAGCTCTGGACAGCGTCTGATTGAGAGTCAATGGGTTGGGGCTGGGGATTTAGCTCAGTGGCATAAGCGCCTGCCTTGCAAGCAGGCAGTCGTGAGTTCGATCCCTGGTACCCATAAAAAGGAAAAAGACAAAAAAAAAATGCAGTTGTGAGAGTCAATGGGTCGCTTTATCTCAGTTCGGTCCTACACTAGCATTTAAGTGGGCCACATTTTCCAAGATGGTGATGTAGGTGATGATGGCACCAATGACAGTGGTGGTTATAATGATTAATTGCCATCCCAATTATGACAATAATGTTAAGTCTTTTCATATATTAACTCATGTCATGCAACAGCAAACATGTCATGGGGGTTGTGGCTATCTCCAGTAGACACAATTTAAAAACCCAGGCAAGTGAGACGCTAGTTAAGTTGGACAAGTTCGGCTCCTAAGAGACAGAGCTCAGCCTCAAATCTAAGAAGTCTAATTCCAAGCTCATGTTCTCATCCTCCCAGGCAACACTGTCCTGGTTTTCCTCTCACTGCACCAAACTAATCTTTACCAGCCTGGGAAAGCATAGTTTTTGAGGGAAGTCAAATTTCTGAGAAAAGTATTCGTCCTTACAGTAAAGACACCTTGGTAATAATGATGATGGGGCTGCACCATTCCCAGGGAGCAGTTTGCTGGGAAGGGAGGGGTTTTATTCCCGTCATTCTCCCACAGCCTGTTTTAAGAATCGCTTCCCAGGTGTGTGGAGAAGTGACTTGGCAGGGGGGAGGCTGGGAACCAACTCCATCTTGGAGGCTACCGAGTATCTGTCTCTAAGCATTTCCTTTACCTTCACTCAAGGTTTGGGGTTGCATTCACAGTTTGTCACAGAAAGAATCACATTTCCTAAGACTCAAACTCCAGAAAATCGCTTTCTCCCACAAACCTCCAGTAAAAATTTCTCAAATTCTTTTCCTCATTGAGTAAAGGCTAAAGCTTTGTGTGGACATGTAGTAAACATTCCTAAGAATTGCCTTCAGGCTATTGTGAGAAGAAATTCTCTTTCTACATTTTTGTTCTTCTCAGATTGTCTGTTGCTGGAGGTGGGGGACTCTACACAGATTTAAAGAGATCAGATCACTGGCATCTTAATGCTAGGTCAATTCATTTCTCTGGATTCCTTTGTACCCCGGACAGAGAAAATACGCTTTGAACATAACGGCCCAAGTTGGCTTGCCCAGACTAGCTTT